TCTCTACTCACATTAACATCTATTTATTATTTAAAAAAAAGATATAATACATAATATATACAAAATTAAATAAATTTTTAATTTCTTATGGATTAGTATAAAGAAAGCACTTTACACATAAGTTATATCTGTTCTTGTTCCAATTACTTTTAAAGCAAGTTCAGGAGACATTTTATAAACACCGATATCTGCTAGTATTTCATTTGTGATAATTTCATCATTATTATTAAGAGCCTCAACAAGTAATATTGCAGAACCTAACATGATATTTAATAAAATACATGCTTCTTTAATCCTAAAAATATTATTTAAATTTTATTAGATTTTATTAAATAGAATAATGAATATTTTATAGAATATGAGATTATCAAAGCATTGATAATCACTAATATCATATTGACAAAAATAAAAACAAATTTCTTATAGTAATAAATATTAAAAAATTCTTTAATTCTTTATATTAAAAAAATATTAAATATATTATTATATAATTATTAAATATATTAAAAAAATATAGATTAGAAGTTTTTTTGATAATTTTCTTTAAGTATGATAATGTAAATATATTCATATATATTAGATATAATATATGTTATATATATCATGATTAAAATTGATTATAGAAAAGAGATTATAATTATATAAAGATTATTAATTATATGTTTATATAATTTAATTTAATAATTTTGAAAAAATTTTATCATACAATTTTGTATAACGACATTAGAAAAAATTTCACAGAAATATCATAAAAATTATATTTCTATATAATATTTATGATATTTTTGTTCATATTTGTAAAATTAAAATTGCAATTTATAAAAATGATAATTCATTAAATTCTGTCTTCAAGTTATTGAAAATTTTTACATTAAAAGTTATTACATAAGAAATTTGCATATTCGAATGTTTCATGTATTTTTAACATAATAATTATTTGCTACTTACAATGGAAAATATGATTCAGGTTTATTGATGTATAAACCAAATAATGGAAATAGATTTCTAAAAATATCATATTGTAATTGTTCAGCTCCACCCATATTAAAATGATTTACTAGAACGACTTCTTCTAGAAGAAACTATAATAAAAAATTTATATTTATACAAATATTTAATATATTTAAATCTAAAATAATTTTTCAATTTATCAATTTATCTGACTTGATCAAATTGTGAAGCTAAATTTTTCCAAGCCTGCTCAAATAAAGGTAAAGCAAGTGTATTATGCAATAAATTGAGTTGCGTAGCTAATTCTTGAAACATGGAATAACCAGTTGGTGTGACAGATAAGGACACCACTTCTTTGGTAGATTGCATTGCAAACCATCTACAAATAAATTTATTTTATAAATACAAAATTATTAATTATTAAACGTTTAAAACTTGTAAAAATTTATACAATTTTTTAAACAAAAAACTTAATAAATATTAAAAAACAATTTAGAATAAATAGTTTTGCCTAGAATAAATAGTTTTGATTTTATATACAAATATTAAATAATCTCTTTTATATAAATCTAGATTTAGTGCTAAATTCTTACTTATCTGTTCTATATGATCTACTCTTTGCTTTTACATCTAAACCTACGGAATCGCTAATTTCATTTATTAATGTCTTTTCTAATCTTCTTAAAAGTGCAACAGCTTCATCAAATACAGAACCTTCAATTTCTCCTATATTTTTAGTTATATCATTTCCTTTTAATGTAGCAGTTTCAACTGCTTCAAATTGTTTCTTAAAAAAGAATAATTGCAAAAAATGCTAAAAAAAAAAAATTAAATGATATTAAAAATATATTGATATTGTAATATATAATGATATTAAAAATATAACATATTTTTTTTTTTGAAAGAAATATTTAAAACACTTACCACTGTTACACCCCACTCTTCTAGAACAGTTGCAACATAATATAATGTATTAAGAATACATGGCATAAGAGATGTTAAAGGATCTTCATAATTTTCATGTAATAATTGAAGTAATCGAACTCTCCAATCATCAATTAATTCTAATTGTAATTCAAGAAACTGTAATCTATTATCATTTCATGTAAAATAATTGAATTGAATTAAATTGAATTGAAAATTATAATAATTACATTATATACAATTATACAAATATTAAGGGTTGTTTTTGCTATAAAAGATCATACAATGTAATATCATTTTTCTATAAATGATTTAATATTATCTATTCTATGATCTTTGTCGTTATAATATAAAATAAAATATGAGAAAATTTTATTTTACAATAATGTATGTAACATTTAATTTCATATATAATATTCTTCTTTTAATATTTAAATATTATAATATTATATTAAATTCTATATATATAATATAATATTAAATATAATATTTATCATATATCAAATTCATTTATATGTATAAATAATTATTTATATTATTTATTAATTATATTTATTATTAATTATACCTGTGTCCTGGTTGAGGTAAATGTTTATATCTATCAGAAATTGTAGAAAGAAGCGTTAAAAAAGCATCTG